ACAGTTATCATTGCAACATGACAAACTAACCTTGCAGAGACATAAAACTAACCTAGAAACAGATGATAACTAACTTAGAAAGAACAGAGACCTAAACTAGCAAGAATACACTACTAACCTAGCACCAACAGACAGCTATCATTGAAACATGACAAACTAACCTTGCAGAGACATAAAGCTAACCTAGCAACAGATGATAACTAACTTAGCAAGAACAGAGACCTAAACTAGCAACAATACACTACTAACCTAGCACCAACAGACAGCTATCATTGCAACATGACAAACTCACCTTGCAGAGACATAAAACTAACCTAGCAACAAAATACAATTATAATTGCAACATGATAAAACTAACCTAGCAAAAAGCATACAACTAACCTATCACCAACAGACAACTAACATTGCACCATGATAAAACTAACCTTGCAGAGTTATATAACCAACCTAGCGACAATAAAGAAGTAACCTAGCAGCATCACACAACTTAATCAACAATAAGATAAACACCAACCTGAACAAAATCAGCATCAGATAATTTCTTTTCTTTCAACTTTAATGACTCCAATAATGGTTGTTGTTGTTGTTGTAATGCCAAGAGTTCCATGCGATCATCGACAAAACCTCAGCCAAAACCACCCTTTTTCGCCTCAGCAATGGATCTCTTGCGCAACAACTCGCAGTTCCAACCAATAAAGGAGGGCAGACTCCTTGGAACATCACGCGATATAAACACCAGCCGATCAACATATAAAACCTGCATTATGAAAAAAAAAATTATATATATATATATAAAAAAAACATGGAATATAAATTGTTTAAGAATAATATAAAATAACATTCTTACCACAAGGAAAAGAAGAGGGCCATTGAAACTACTCTTCTTGCCTTCATCCCATTTCAGTTTTTTAGCAATCAAATTTTGAAGAGTATAGTCAGCCCAATTCAAATCGGAGACACATGTTATGTACCGACTTCAAGAAAGGAGGGTTGACATAACCAGCAGAGTTGATAGTACAGATTATAAGAGCATCCATCAAGACAACAAAGTTACAGCAGAACATTTCACCACCGTCATCAAAATTACACTGCTACATTTTTTGGCTCACGTGTTCAGGAGTGATTCTCTCAGAAGATGATGGAAACTGACTCCTCCAGTTATCCCACAGTTCACAAGTCTCAGATTTTGTCTTTAACTGAATAGGCTTATCACCTCTTGGGAAGCCTAAGACCTTCTCCACATCAAAAGTTTCGATATGGATGTTCCCCTCCGAAAAACGCAAGACAGAGCTAACCGGGTCAAAATTATCCACCACCCAGAAAGATAAATTGCTTGGAATCTCCTTATTCTTAAAATGCAGCAAGTATCCAAAACCCATCTTTTCTACAGCTGTCATATGTTCATCATTTAATTTAGCAATTGACTCAACCAAAGTTTTTGCAGAAGATCGTGTTGACAACTTTGGGAAATTAAGTTTATCATTAGACTGCCGTTTACGAGATAGATTGCCAGATGATGGATGAGTAAGCAAAAAACTTCATCACCAGGCTCCATAACGATTTCTTCAAATTAAACTGAGTTACAAAAAAAAATGTTAAATAGATATAAGTAAACTTACAACTAACATTGCAGCATCAGAAAAGTAACCTTGCAGAGGTACATAACTAACCTAGCAAGAAAAGATAACTAACCCAGCAAGAACATACAACTATCATTGCAACTATATAAAACTAATCTAGCAGCAACATACTACTAACCTAGAAGCAACAGACTACTGACCTAGCACCAACAAACAGCTAGCCTAGCAACAACATACTACTAATGCAACATGATAAAACTAACCTTGCAGAAGTGTATACCTAACCTTGCAGCTATAGATAACTAACCTAGCAGTAATAGACAACTAACCTATAAAAAAAAGAGAACTAACCTAACACAGATATGTAACTAACCTAGCATGGAAAGACAACTACATAGCAGTTACAGATAACTAAACATAGCACTAACAAATAACTAACATAGCACCAACAGACAGCTAACCTAGCAACACCATACAACTAACATTGCAAAATGATAAAACTAACCTTGCAGAGATATATAACTAACCTAGCACCAACAGACAGATAACATAGCAACACCATACAACTAACATTGCAACATTATAAAACTAATCTAGCAGAGATATATAACTAACCTAGCACCAAAATAAAGTTATCATAGCAACACAATACAACTAACATTGCAACATGATAAAACTAACCAAGCACAAACATAAAGCTAACATAGCAACACCATACAACTAACATTGCAACATGATACGACTAACCTAGCAGAGATATATAACTAATCTAGCAAAAACAAAGACCTAACCTAGCACCAACAGGCAACTAACCTAGCAACTTGATAAAACTATCATTGCAGAGATATATAACTTGATAAAACTATCATTGCAGAGATATGTAACTAACCTAGCATTGAAAGACAACTATCATAGCAGTTACAGATAACTAAACATAGCACTAACAAATAACTAACATAGCACCAACAGACAACTAACCTAGAAACACCATACAACTAACATTACAACATGATAAAACTAACCTTGCAGAGATATATAACTAACCTAGCAACAGAAAATAACTAACCTAGCAAGAACAGAGACCTAACCTAGCAAAAAAATTATCATTGCAACATGATAAAACTAAGGTTGCAAAGATATATAACTAACCTATCAAAAGCAGAGACCTAACCTAGCACCAACAGACAGCTAACGTAGCATTTACGGGTAACTAACTGAGCGGTAATGTACTTGATAAAACTATCATTGCAGAAATATATAGCTATCCTAGTACCTGCATATAACTAACCTAGCAACAAAAGACAACTATCCTAGCATCTACGGGTAACTAACTGAGCAACAACAGACTACTAACCTAGCACTAAAAACAACTAACATAGCACCAACAGACAGCTAGCCTAGCACCATCAGACAACTAACCTAGTAACAACATACAACTAACATTGCACAAGCAGAAAACTAACCTAACAGCATCAGAAAAAATAACAAAGCAACACAGACAACTACCTACCAACGATAAACAACAACCATAGCGACGATAGACAACTAACCTTGCAACTAAATATCAATAACCTTGCAACTCAAACACACAACCAATAAAACCCTAAAAATACGAATGATATACTTTATATATGGATTGAATTAAAAAAAACAAACCGATCAAAAAAAATAAACAAAACATATTGTTGACCTAAAAATCTGCTTTAGCGTTGGATGACTGACACGTGGACGGCGAGAAAGCGAAGGGGTTACGCCCAAAAGTGCCGAGAAAACGTTGCCCGACCTGTCGTGGCCGACCTCATTTAGGAAGCCGACCTTGTCTGGAAGCCGACCTCCAACACGAGGCAACCTCGGGTGCAGGCCGACGTCGGAGCGGACAAGCAGCATTTAATGCGGGTACCATCGACTGTTCAGAGCCCATGTGGAGACATCATTGCGCAGGGGGGCCCCACAGACAGAAAAAGCTGCGTAGATGTCATTCCTCATTAAATGCCGCCGAATCTCCTCAAAAGATGAGCCCCCAGTTACTATAAATAGCAGCAATAAAGGCAATACGAGGATCTTTTTCCGACACATAAATTCTGCATTAATCACCTCGGCTATTGCCAATTTTAGCATTATTGTACAAGAAAAACCGACCTCAAGTCCGCGAAATACCGACTTGATATTTTCCTAGATAATTTTCAGTTGTTCAATAAAATCGTCTGATCACGCTATTAATCTAATAGATATAAATATAAACAAGTTGATCAAATCCGTTTATCAACACATATTACAAACACCGATAAAAATCTATTAAGACAAAAAAAACCTAAAATCGAAAAAAGCGATTACAAACAAAAACAAACGCAAAAAATACTCACTAATTAAG